GTTTGCAGGAGATTCACGGATTGAAGGCGGGCCGTTTTCAGAATGTGGCTCTACCCTTAGTGCCGCGCACATTCGCTTTCAAGAATTGCAGGAGCTTCACAGATCAGGGGCGGTTCCTTTTTCAAACGGTGGCTCTACCCTGAACGCCGCGCACATCCGTTTTCACAAGACGAAGCAGCGTCACGGGTTGAGGGCGGCTCCTCTTCAGAATGTGGTTCTGGCCCGAGCGCCACGCACACTCGCGTCTTAAAAAACATGCGGAAGAGTTCGACGGATTCCCATATGATCCGCGCACCAGAAACACTGTTTTGGAACGATTCAGGACTATGAGGCTCCAACCGTTGCGTTGGCTCGCGGTGTGAAATCCCAGGGATGGCGTTCTGGGACGACTCAGGATCGTCCAAACGCAACAGTCTGGTTGATCCGTGGCGTGGGACTCCAAAGAATGGTGTTTTGGTATAGATCAGGGTCTTCAGACGGTTGCTTTCCAACGACGCAGTTCCCTCAGTGGAACTGAACCCTTGTATGAGGCCTACAAAGAGAGAACTTAGAGGGACGGCTTATTCCAACATTGTTGATGAGTCTTGGGTTTACACTGGTCCTCCTCCTCCTCCCCCTCGCCTTCCTCTTCCCTTCCTCCTCTTCGTCCTCCTCCTCCTACTCCTCCTCCTCTTCCTCCTCTTCCTCCTCCCCCTCCTCCTCCTCCTCCTCCTCCTCCTCCTCCTCCTCCTCCTCCTCCTCCTCCTCCTCCTCCGCATCACCTCCAGCGAATCCAATCGAACATCCGAGCCTCGAACTTCAGCGCGCCTGACCATCTCCTCGACCATCTGCACGTTCATGTCCCGCTGGGCTTCGCGGCCGCACAGATCCTTGTGGCGAACCAGCACGCCCTCGTCACCGTCGGCCGCCATCCTGACCACGCCTCGGACGCGTCGAAGCCGCCGCGCTGCTGCCGCAGCTGTTTCATGCTCGGGGCGCGTCGAGGCACTTCTGGCAGTGCGCCCAGTGCCCCAAGATCCACGCCACCACGGCACACTGGAAGGAGTTGCCCAGCAAAACGCAAAGGACCACCTCCAGCTCGCGGGCCTTGCGGAACCGGGTCGCCATGGCCGTCGTCGTGTGACCAGGGGGGAAGTCCAGCAGCATCTCCCGCTCAAAGGAACCCGCAGGCTCCAAATCACCGCCATCCCAGCGCAAGCAGTGAACATCTCGGAACTGGCACGGGGCATAGCAGTACTCGTGGGTGCGCCAGCGCGCCAACTCCTCCTCCGAACACTGGTGCAAACCCTTGGGCTTAGAGCCCGCGCGCGCCCTCGGGATGCAACGGACGAAGGTCGGCAGTCTGCCCCTCGCAATCTGCGCCACACCAGCGGCGGCCCGCACGAAGCCACCGCTTGAGCTCGTCCGCGCCACCTGGGATCACCACCATCCTGACCTCCTCCGACTCGTTCACAGCGCCCTGCCACTGTTCCATCAGGTCCCAGTCGCACCAGCACAGCCTCTCTCGCCGAGCATGCGAGATGTTGGCCGCCTCGGCCACCACGGGCTGCAGCCCCAGCGCCTGCGACATGGCCTGTCTGTCCAGGGCCTCCATGGAAGGTACGTTCTCGATCAAGCTGAAGCTGCACCTCGACGGGGAACGCACGACGCATCAAGGCTTGCACCCGCAAGATCTCGAAGAAGCGGCCAGACCGCTTGCCGCGCAGCCCGCACCTGTCGACGCTGAGACGAGTCAGGTCCACGCAGGGGCGCCTGCGCTGCAGAGGATGACCCAGCGCGCACGGGGAGCACGATCTCGGATCCTCCTCGCGCCCTTCTCCCCCGGCTGCTGCGCATCGCCGAGTTCCATGGCACGCCTCCACGTCGGTCTCGGACACGGCGCACACTGCAACGAACCCCCCCCCCAAAAAAAACGCCCTCATCCTGCAGTCGGCCCCCGCGCTTACCGAGCCGCTCGCGCGGCCGCAACCCCGCGGGGAAGGAGTCGCACGGCTCGGCACACGGCACCCTTCTGCTCACTGGCATCCGACACCGCCACCACGCCGCTGACAGGAGACCGCAGGTCGCACCTCATGAGTGGCAAAAGCCCCAGCGCGATCAGGATCTCCCTGGAGACGGGGCCAGGCAGGCGGCGCTCGCCGTTCCAGCGCACCACGGCTCGCCACAGATGGTCGAAGGCCGACATCGTCTCCCTGCGGAACATCAGAGCTCGCACCCAGCGGCCTGCAAGCACCTGCAACCACCTCTGCGCCACCTTCTCGCGGTCCAGCGCAAAGAGGCTCAGGCTCACCAGCTTGTAGGTGAAGTCCTTGGGGGGGGGGGGGGGGGGGGGGGGGGGGGGGGGGGGCTGATCATACCTAGCTCGCCGTCCACGAGCTCGCCCAAGGCCTGGCTCTTCAGCGAGCGGCTCACAGACATATCCTCGCTGCGAGGGACGCCGCGGGCATCGCGTCGCGCCCGAGCCAAAAGCACAGCCACAGGGGGCCCTGCGCTCTGAAGGGCTGCCAGCGCCACCTCATCCGCGATCTCCAGGAGGTCGAGGTTGTCGATGCACACCTGCCAGACGACCCAGGTAGGAGGACACGCAGCTTCCCTCGCTTCTTCCCACCAGACCTTGATCAGCATACCACCATGGCATACCTGATCTGGCCTTCAGTGACAAATGAGACAGCAGCCCGACAGCTCACCAACGTCCATGAGCAAGTGCTGCGATTCCCTCAAGTGGGCCTCGAACAGTAGGACAGCCGATGTCCTGGACAAGCCTCGTGAGACCCTGAAGGAGTTCGCCCACTGGGAGGGGGGGTAGCCGCACCTCTGCCCTGCGCGCCCAATGTACACGGGCACGTAATTGTCGTCGTAGCTGCGGCCAACCTGCCCTCGCACGGGTTCCCCATCTGAGGCCCACGGCGTTGCCCGCGAGGCCCTGTCCGAAGCGGGGGGCCCGCGTCCAGGTCACGACGAGGAGGGAGAGGGAGGTCGCGTCGCAACTCCTGCCCCACCGGAAGAGGCTCGCCACCTGGCACCCACTCGCGCAACAGCCTCCTGTGGGTGTGCTGGATGATCCCCGTCGCCGAGATCCAGCCCATGGGGGCCACCGCCGCCGCCGCGAACACGCTGCCACCCCCAGCCAGGCCCAACGCAGCACGCCTGACGGGCTTGGACAAGGCCACGTACCTGTGCCAGACCACGGGCAAGCGGTACACGCAGAAGCAGCACTTCAGGTCCTCCGACGAGGTCAGGAGCACCTCGCCATTCCTTAGAATGAGGCTTTTCCACTTGTCCGTCGTCGGCAGGAGGCCCATGTCTCCCTCGATGGTGTCCTGCAGCCAGTTGCTAGGGATGATGTTCATCACGAGGCGCTGCGGACCCTGGACCTTGCCACGCCGTGACTTGCGGACCCCAAAGAGGCCGCCCAGCACACGCCGCCCTCTCACCTGCGCAATACACTCCTCCTCGATAGGCACCAGGACCCCGCGGTCCACCAGCTCGGCGGCGATGAGCTCCCACTCGGCGTCCTCCGCCCAGACGCGGGGGGTCTTCGGCATCTCACCCAGGTCATCAGGGTTCTTGAGGATCCACTCGGGATTCTCCAGCACACCTCGGACCCAACCGTCGCTCACCTCCGTGGCCAGCACCGACCCGCACGCGTGCTTCGGCGGCAAGGCCAGCATCAGGCGCTCTTTATCGAACTTCTCCGCGGCGTACACCCCCTCGCCTGTGTAGCTGACCGCCGAGGACTTGAGCTCCGACTCCCACTCCAGCATCGGCACCTTGTCGCTGCACTGCTTCAGGAAAGCGCACACGCTCCGCGCCAGGTACCGCAGGGCCTCCACCTGCACCAGGCTGGCGGGGCCGAAGAAGCGGCGGGCGCTGTCCCCCTTCAACAGAGGATGATTGCCTCCCAAGCGGCACTGGAAGTTCAGCGCCTGCACCACCAGGTAGAGCCACCCGCGCAGGTCGTCCTCCATCGCCACGGTCACCATGTTCACGATGCGGTCCTGGTCGAACTCCAGCTTCAAGTCGCAGACCTGAACAAGAGCGCAAGGCAGCGGCATCAAGTCACGACGACCGCTCCTTGCTGACAGGGGCAAGGGATGAGCCGACCGCTCATCAGGGGAAGATCCGTGCTCTGAGGCCAACGGCCTCGCCTCCAGTGAATCACGTAGTAGCCTACCGTCACGCTGATAACCGTAGTCAGAGGCCAGAGGCCCCGCCTGAAAAGAGTCACGACGTGGTGCGCCAGTCCCAAGATGCATCATACAACGCCCAACTTCACGAAGTGGCAGCCCACAAAGCCGTCGGAACACATCTGCACCTCGCAGTTCGTCAAGACGTGGAAAGGCACGAATTACGGGCAGCCCGTCGTCTGAGAAGGCATATGGTCACGAGCCTCTCTGCACTCCCCCTCGTCAACAGCTGATGGGCTGGTGATCTCATTCTCCCAGCTGCCTCCAGAGGTGTCAGTGCGGTTACCCTGCTCCACCTCCTCTGTCATGCATGCTGCTGTTTGTTCTTGCGGCCGCCCTTGCGCTCGCCCTTGCCCGGGCCCTTGCCACGGCCCTTGGCTCGAGCGGGCTGGCCACCCGTGTCGCGGGACCACGGGCGCTGCGATCCGCCGCGCGGCGGGCTCACGGCGCCTGGCCCAGGGCGCAGGCTGGACCTCCTCGGCGGCCCTGGGCTCGAGCCGCGAGCCGCAGCCCTCGCCAAAGGTGGCGGGGGGGGCGTCCGAGCGCGCTGCGGCGAAGGGAGCGCTCCCCCTGGGCTCGGGGCGCGCCCCTCCGCAGCCCGACTCGAGGCCCGCGGCCCCCCCGCCCCTGCGGGCGCTGCGGGCGGCGCGCCAGCCCCTCGACCGGCTGCGCTGCGGCCGCGGCCCCTACCCTTGCGCCAGCGAGCCTTCCGCTGCGACGCCGTCGACCTTGGCGACTCGTTCACCTCCAGAGTTCGAGGCCTCTTCGGCGGGGGCGACGCCATGGGGGTGGACGTCCTGGCGCCCCCGCCCTCTCCCCCGCCAAGTCCCTAGAGGGACTTGCCCTTGCCCCTTGCCTTGCCGAGGCGCTCCCTCAATTTGGCCCCCTTCCGAGTACGTCGCCACGGCCGACGCCAGCTCCGCCTGCGAGGCCAGCCCGACGTCCGTGGAGTCCACCAGCTGGAGGTGCTGCGCCACCTGCCAGTGCCCGCCCTCGGTCGCCTGCTCGATGGATTCCAGCCCCTGCATCGGCATGTCGCCCAGGCGCGGCAGCTCGCCGCGAGTGAGGGCGTCCAGGCACTCGCCTATCACCCTTATCTCTCGCACGCTGCGAACTCCCATCTCGATCTGAGGATGGGCCCCGTGCCACGCGCTCGCGATGCATCGCACCACGTTCGCACTCAGGCCGCCCAGCTCGTCGTCGTCTGCGGCCCCGCCCCGCCGTGCCAAGTACTCGCGGACATGCTTCAGACCCGCCGCCATCAGAGCTCCTGGATCGGAGCGGGCGAGGCGCTGTACTCGGCGGCTGGAACCAGCGGGTGGGCCTCGTCAAAAAGCGACTCGTCGGAGGCGTCGCGGCCGCGATTCTCGTCTCCGCGGCGGCGCCTCCGCTGGCCCCCCAGCGCAGCATCAGCTCTCTCGGCGAGGGGCTCCCCCATCGAGCGCTTACGCCTGAGCCTCTCACGCAAGTCCTGGATTGCCCCCCCGAGCCGCTGCTCGCCGCGAGCGCCGCTGCCTCCGCCGTCAGCACATTTGGCCAACCCTGGACCGCCAGCGCCGCCCCCTGCAAGGCCCGCGCCTGCCGCAGCGCCGCCCTCACCTGCATGAAGTCCTCTGGCGCCGCCTCCAGCGGCGGCACCGTCGGCCAGGGCGGCCGCAGCGGGGGCACCCAACCCCGCTCCAGTGGCAGCCTTCACTCTCGCCGTGTCCGAGTGCACCACGTCGCGGTTGGGCCACTTGGTGGCGAGGTGGCAGGCCCCCACAGCCTGGGCGCACAAGTGCAAGACCGAGGACCCCATGGCAAAGAGCCCCTGCAGCACGGGCATGACGTGCGACTGGCTCCAGGACTCCACCGTCGCCTCCACGAACTGACCTGCTCCGTCCGCGGGCCAGGCCCCCGACGCGCGGAACTCGGCGGCGCCGTTGGGCTGGCCGCACGCATCGTACATGACGACGCCCAGCAGGGCCCCCGGGTGGAGCTGCAGCTGCTGCAGCGCGTAGGGAGCCAGCGGGAGGTCGATCCAGGGGCCAGGAACTCCTCCGCACCCTGCGGGTGCCGCCACTGCGGGCATGCCGAAGGCTCCGCCGTACGGAGGCAGGCCCGCGGGCACCCCGAGCAGGCCTCCAGCCGCCGCCCCGCAGGGGAAGCCCCCGGCCAAGCCAAGCTGCCCAGCTCCGCCCGCAGCGCCCCACGGCGGTGCACCCCAACCGCCTGCGGGGCACCCCGCGATGGGAGCAGGCGGCAGCGGGCCCGCAAGAGGAGCTGCGCAACCTCCAGCGGCACCAGGAGGGCCGCCGAGCGCGCCGACTCCAGGCAGCCCTGGGGCCACGCCTGCCGCGCCACCCGCGACGGCCGCGGCGCCAGCCGCGGCCGCGGGAGCCCCTATCGCGCCTTGCCGCGGCCAGCTCCGCGCCCCGCGGCCGCGCCAGCAGCTCCTCTTTTGGCGGCGCCGCGCCCTCCTGCAGGCTTGCCCAGGCCGCCCATCGCAGGCTTGGCGGCCCGCGCGGCGCCGCCTCCTGCTGCGCTTGCAGCACCGCCTGCGCCACCAGCTCCCGCGGCCGCCGCGGCCCTGGCGAGCCGGGGCGAAGGCGGGGGCAGCATCCCGCCCGCGCCAGGGGGCACGGCTGCGAAACCGCCCCCGACCCCGCCCGCCCCGACGCCCAGGGGCCCGCTCGCGGGGCCCACAAGCGCGCCGCTGGCGCCTGCGCCTCCCACGCCTGGCGCCGCTCCGCCCCCCAACATCAAGGGGGGCGGGCCGGCGCGGTGGCGGCGCGCTCCGCGGCGGAGCCGCCGCGAGCCCGGGCCCTGCCCAGCGGGCCGCCATCCCGCACCGCGAGAGGATGGCCTGGGCCGCGGCCTGGGGGGGGGTTATACGGGCACCCCCCCAGAAGCCCATTGTTTGCCAAAGCGGCTGCGGTGGAGGCGGCAACGGGATGGACGCGCCAGGGGGCGCGCCAGGGGAGATAAATCGCATGAGAAACTCATTCGTGTGTATATATATATATAGAGAGAGAGAGAGATCACGATATGGCAACCACCCTTTAGACATCAAGCGAAATAAACGTTCGTCACTGCACGCTATGACGCAGGGCCCCCTGCGATAAGAACCAAGCAGCAATGGCAGCGCGCGCGCGCGAACGTGTCCCAAGCACACAAACAAGCAAAATAAACGCTCATGCGCAGACTGATCATTGATGAGACGGCATGCAACGTCACGGGTCTAAAATCTATTTGAAACCGACAAACCAAATCGAGGCCGTAAAATTTTCGCGAACTCAACGTGAGCAACGCTGCCGACATGCAAATCATCTGCGCAACAGCTCTTGACCCTTGCCTGAGCAAAATTCGCTGGGGCATCACACACCGCGAAGGGCCTGGGGCCAATTGGCACCGCGCCAAAAAATGTGAGCAACCCTGAATACAAAAGGATCGCCGTGCAAGCTCAGCCGCGGCGACTCCGCTGCAGAGCGCCCCACGCGCCCAGGGCACGTCGGAGCAGGCGCTCGTGGCGAGGCCCCTGTCAAGAGAGCAACCAGGCGCAGTGGACCCTGCACGTCAAGCAGGTGAACCAGCAGCGAACTGCGTTCCGTCCTGCCCGGATGATGCGACCCTGGTCGACACGCCGGCAGATCCTCTGCTCCGCCACTTTGGGCGCAAGTCCAGCCGCGTCGGGCTTTGCCGCGGGTGTCGATGGCTGGTGAGGACTTGCAACAACCTGCTTATAGGTTGAAGCTTCTTGCGGCCTGTCCGGGCGCCAGCCCGCCGGCGTCGTCGCGGCCTCTGCCTGGGGCGCTGGCTTAGTCGCAGCTGGCGCGCGCGACTCCTAGGACGCAACTGAGCTACAACAAAGCCAAACCAGCGTCATCACCACGAGAAAAGCCGCCATGATACCTCAAAAGGCACTGAGCGTATCCACGAAAACCCTCTCGTGCTCGTCGTTATACTAATACTAATAATACGAATAGTCCTGAAGGCCATCGTCATCATACACCTTCGCATTTCCGCGAGTCAGCCCCATTGCCATCGAGACTCCAGCGTGGGAAGATATGGCCATCGTAGCCACGATGCGTGACGCCGTCTTCCTCTGCCGCCAGTTGGCCGCCCCGTCGGCGCAGAAGCGTCGGCGGCTGCCGCGGCGGAATGGCTGGCCCCAGGGGGCAAGATCGCCCTCGATCCGTTTGCCACATCCTGCGAGCATACACGTCTCCAAGGCGTCGTCGCCCATACCCCCTGAATCACTCGCGCGGTCCGCAACAAAACCCGCCGCGCCGCCGAGCTCCATCTCAGCGTCGCGCTTGGCACTGGCGCCGAGCATCTTTCCCGCGACGCAGCTCGGGTCGAACTCGATGGCGCGCTAGCCCCGCGGGATGGCCCCTGCGAAAGCCTGGCGCGCTGCAACCTTCGCCGACCCGTCGGCCAACTGCTGCCACATGTTCGTCAATCGATGACTCCAAAGAAGGCCATCGCACGCCGCGTAGCAATCTTCACTTCCAACGCCGCGCGTCTCTCCTCGATGCCCACGCCGCCGCCGAGGGGCGAGCTGGCATCACGCCATCCGAGTCGACCACAATCACCAGTTCACCCAGCCTGCGCATCGAAGCCTAGCCCACGATAGACCGCGCAGGATCGATCATGCGGCTCACGAAAACATCGGCCCACTCAAGTGCGCCCACGGCGCCGGCAGCAGCTTGGGCCTCCGAGGCAAGACTGACCCGAGCCAGTCGATCCAACTTGCGCGAAGCCCAATTGAAAATCATCAGCACAGTCGCGCAGCCCTCGGCAATGGACTTCTCACTGGTCAGAAAGATCCGGCAAACGCCCTGGCAGCTCCCGCCAGGTCG